CACACACACACACACACACACACACACACACACACACACACACACACACACACCACATGCTACTAAACAACATATCAGCAGCGGTGACCAGGAAACTGTTTGGGGGCATGGCCAGCCTTTGTTGCTGCCGGTTCAAAATACCACTACCAGTTCGATCAAACCAGGCCGGACCGGCAGCAACCCACCTCTGGTGTTAGGGCTTCAGCGATAATACATCATGAAACTTTAGGTATACAGGCAGTTCTCCAGTTATGACCACAATTGACTCCGAATTTCTATTGAAAATTTCCAAGGCGGTTATTAAGTGAGTCACTCCTGATTTTATGACCTTTTCCTCATAGTCATTAAACAAATCTCGCCACTGTCATAAATACATACCGAGGACCAAGATATCATAGGGGATGTTAATAGTGGTTGTAGGTTGTGAGGGACAATCTTAAGTCACTTTTTTCCAATGCTGTTGTAACTTTGAATGGTCACTAAACGGATGATTGTAAGTCAAGGACTCCCTGAAATCTACAAATGTCATGTGTACATGGAGAAGCTGGAAGAAATTATGTGTTAGTGCAAATCTTAAAAAAAAACAACCCCTATAAGATAGACTATGATTCTAAATGTATTATTGGTATATAAAATGATGATTTGATTGATTTTTCTTCTATTCTTTCCATGTGGCAAGTACAGCCAAAATAATTACGGAATTGCTGTGTTTTATATTTCAGATAAAATAGAATTACCATGTTTTATATTTCAGATTCTATATTAAGTGGCATAGTTAAAAATAATGTGGTGGCTCAGTGGCTAAGTGGCTGAGCTTGTCAATCAGAAAAGTTAGCAGTTCGGCGGTTCGAATCCCAAGCGCCGGGTAACAGAGTGAGCTCCCGTTACTTGTCCCAGCTTCTGCCAACCTAGCAGTTCGAAAGCATATAAAAAATGCAAGTAGAAAAAATAGGAAAACCTTTGGTGGGAAGGTAATTGTGTTCTGTGCACTTTCCCCGTTTAGTCATGCCGGCCACATGACCAAAGAGACGTCTTTGGACAGAGCTGGCTCTTTGGCTTTGAAATGGAGATGAGCACCGCTCCCTAGAGTCGGGAACGATTAGCACAGATGTGCGAGGGGAACCTTTACCTTATATTTCAGATAAAACAGAATTACCATGTTTTATATTTCAGGTTCTATATTTTTAACTGGCATAGAACTTTCTTATAAAGCATATGCTTGAAACTGATGGTTTAAAAAACGTTTCACTTAAAAGTCAGGGACAATTAGATTCTACTTTTAATTTCAAAGTATGCTCAGGACTGGATTCATTCTGCAATCTCCTATTACACTGTTATGACTCTATGTAATTTATTCCTGAAATATGGGTGTATATTTCATGAGGCTAATGTGTGTTTTTATGCTCTTCTTCTAACAGCTAAAAGCTGATGTGGTGCCAAAAACAGCAGGTAAGAAACCCCTTAATGATATTTTTAAGATTTCCTCAGAGAACATCCCAGCAAGAAAACGAAGGGGAATTGAAATGCTTTTAAATAATGAATTAATACTTTCTTCAGAAACAGAATTCGTCTCGCTTACTTGTAGCATATTCTTCCTGTGGTTTTTCTCCTTGGGTTAGGACGCTCTGATTCTGCTAATCTAGTTAAAATCATAAGGATGTTTAAATAATCATAGGTAATTGTTTATTGATCCGTTACCCAACCGTCAAAAACTGGAAGCCTGATAGGGACTTTTTGCAGAAAAAAAGGAAAGACCGAATTGATGATTTATGCCTCTGGGGATTAAAAAGATGTCTTAATAGGGTGGGGAAAGAGCAAGTTAGCAAAGAGAGGCAGTCCAAATTCTGGAGGGTTTCCCCCACTTTTTTTCTTTCCTTTTTAATACTTCGATTATCTTGACAAGTTCTGGATGAATGGATAGATGATGGGCGATAGATGGACAGATAAATGATTAGATGGATGATAGATAGACAGAGAGAGATAGATGGATGATGGAGGATAATAGATTGATAGATAATTGATAGATAACTGATTGATGGATAGATGGATGATTAATTGATTGATAGATAGAAGATAGACAGAGATAGATGATGGATGATAGAGGATAGTAGATTGATGGATAATCGATTGATGGATGGATGATTGATGGATGGATGATTGATGGATTGATAGATAGAAAATGGAGATAAATGATGGATGATAGATGATAGTAAATTGATAGTAGATTAATGGATAGAGATAGATAAATAGAAATAAATAAATAGAGAGAAAGAAAGATATAAATAAATAAATAGATAGATATATACATACACATAAATAGAGATAGAGAGATAGAGAAAGAGAGATACAAAAATAGAGATAGATGGATGGATGGATAGATAGATACGTAGATGATAGAAATAGAGATCTATAGATGATAGAGATAGAGATATGTAGATTATAGATAGATAGATGAGAAAGACATATATACGTAGATGATAGATAGATAGATAGACAGACAAATTCATTCTTCATTCATTTATTCATTCATTCATAATAGATGATACTATTTCCAGGACTTTTGCTTCTTGATGGTCATGTTGGACAGTACATCCACCTGAGTTGTAAAACTAGCTCTGAAGACTTAGTCTTAGCCCACAGTGACCTCAGCTCTCAACGCTAGACTGTCTGTGATAATATTAAAAAGTCCGCAAAGTAAAAAAAACAAAACAAAACAAAGATGGGGGGAAGCAGAAAAAACAGGAAGTGGCAGAGGAAGCAGTGGGTTTCCTTGCTGTTACAGAGAAGACAAAAATATTGCCCAACATTTAACCTGGTTGTTTTGGGTTGTAGCTTGCCCGCCATTCAGATGAGAGCATTTCCAGGTCTAGCTTCCATCCAGAAAACAATCCATCAGATCATGTAAATGGTCTGGCTGGCCTTACTTGCACAAACCAAGTTCTGAGCATCTCTTGATAGTTGTTGTTTCCTGCATGCTAAAAAGTGTTCTATGCCCCCATACATTTCAGATATGCAGTTCTTAGCAACTCAGATTAGCAGACAGAAAAGTCTAAAAGACTGTTAGCACCATCTCTGTGGCTCTATATAGGTCCATGCAGAGTGGATTTTATTTAAATCAAGTCGATTGATATCACTAGTAAAAAGGCTTGATTTAAATCAACTCGATTTAAATCGTAATTTTTTAAAGATCAACTGTCATCTCTGTCCCGCAGCGGCTCCTCCTCTGACCCGCTGTTGACTCACCGACCGTCCCATTTACTTTAATGGGACGGCTGGTGATGCAACAGTGACACAATAAGGTGAGGGATGTGGTGGGCAGCAGGTGAATGGATGCCCGCTAACAGGCGCTGCCATGATGGATCTGAAATGACAGGTGCTCTTTAATATTATATTTATAAGCTACTTAGAAGGTTTCACTTTCATTTTTACTGCCTGCCCTTCCTTCTCACACTTAGAACCTGGTGGTACAGATGCATTTCTCTTCAAACATACAGTTTCTAGTGCACATAGATTTGCAAAACAGTGGGATAAAGGAATATTCCTGAACTTTTTTTTATGATGTATATCTCATAGTCAGTTCACATAGTGAATTGGTGCAAATGCATCAATGCAGTGCGTGTTCTCTCAGCTTGCAGAACTTGGATTCATTGAATGAGTTTACCAAAAATGTAAATATTGCACAACATACAACCTCGTGCTACATAAACTAAGTTCCATTTCATGCTAAGTAACCTAAATCATTAATGTATCTTAAATCGAAAACTAGTTTTAGATAGATTTTTACACCAAAAGTGTTTTGTTAAAATAAATTTGATAAAAATATATTTAAAAAATCTGATTTACATTTTTTAAAAGCCATTTTTTTTAAAAAAAATCAATGATTTTTATCCACCCTGGGTCCAAGAGTGTGGGGACTAGATGGATGTCTTTAGCTTATTATTCTAAATATTATTTTAGTACTGTGCAGCTGGTCCTTGTTTAATGACCTCAATTGGAAAGCGTTTGCTAAGGGAAGTAGACGCTGTTTTTATGATCTCACTCCAGTTCCCCTTTGCTTTCCAGACTTGCAAAGGTTGTAAAATGTGAGGATTGGTCACTGTGAACTTTTCAAATCCCCGTTGTAATGGTCGCTAAACAAAGCAATCACTAAACAAGGGCTGCCTATATTTTGTTTTCAGGGCTTCTGCAGCCCTTGCCATGTATTTACCTGCATGATCGCATCGCTGACCTTTCCTTAGTAATAAAAAATGCTTTTTTTTCTCTCCCCCTTCTTAGAAAATTTCAGAATTTTATGCACTGGGGAAAAGGGCTTTGGGTACAAAGGATCCACCTTCCATCGAGTGATACCTTCGTTCATGTGCCAGGTAATAAAATCCCAAATGTCCATTTTGCAAAGTTACAGTATTTTTCAGAGTATAAGACGCACTGGAGTATAAGATGCAACTTAGTTTTTGGGGAGGAAAATAGGGGGCAAAATCTGCCTACCAGGTATTCATTTGGCTAGCGTCTTTAGTCTGGTCAGCTTCAGCACATAAGTTAGCTGGTTTTGAGTGTGCACATAGACACTTTTTATCCCCTAGTTGGGGATAAAAAAACAGTCTCTAAAGCACAGCTGATCGTTGGAGGGAGCAGCAATGAGAAAAGCAGGCAAAGCATGGAAGATCGCTTCACTCACCAGCGCCTCATTAGGGCTGAAAAAATGCTTCTAGAGCACAGCTGATCAATCGGAGGGAGCAGCAATGAAAAAAGCAGGCAAAGCACGGAAGATCGCCTCACTCATTAGGGCTGAAAAACAGCTTCTAAAGCACAGCTGATCATTGTAGGGAGCAGTAATGAGAAAAGCAGGCAAAGCACAGAAGATCGTTTCACTCACCAGCGCCTCATTTGGGCTGAAAAAATGGTTTTAGAGCACAGCTGATCATTGGAGGGAGCAGCAATGAGAAAAGCAGGCAAAGCACGGAGGATCGCTTCACTCATTAGGGCTTTATTTTAGTACCGAACAATCACTAAATGAATAATTGTAAATTGAGGTCTACCTGTATATAAGTGTAATCAGCTTTGTAGACCTTAAAAACCCTGGAGGTTTTTAAACAAGAGATTGGACAATCATTTGTCTGAAATGGTATAGGGTTTTCTGCCTAAGCATGGGGTTGGATTAGAAGACCTCCAAGGTCCCTTCCAACTGTTATTCTATTCTATTCTATTCTATTTTCTATATTCTATTCTATATTCTATATTCTATTCTATTCTATTCTATATTCTAGCCTATATCCATTCTATTCTATATTCTATTCTATATTCTACTCTACTCTACTCTACTCTACTCTACTCTACTCTACTCTATTCTCTCCTATGCCTATGCCTATCCCTATCGCAGTGGCTAAATAGTGTAACATGAGGATAAGAGCTTAGATAATTCATAAATAACCTTACCTGGAAATATAATTAGTGGTCCAGTGGAAATGTATGATACATCCTGCATTCTGGATATATTTGAATTCTGTTGTCAGGTTTTCTAAATAGCATTGTTATCTGAAGTATTGCCACTTAAAAGTAAGTTGCACTTAAGTGTGCATTATAAAGAGCTGTAATAACAATGTCTATCATTCCACAATTTACATTTAAGCTCTGAGTGGCAGAGCTAATTTAAACAATTAAAGGTACAGGGCTTTGATCTGTCAGCCTCGCTAAATGATAGGTGTGGTTCCAGGCATGTTAAGTTTTGGGAATGAGGCATACAAATTTTGCACATAATGTGTTAAATTGATTTCCAGGATAGAATGGAATGGAATAGGAATAGGAATGGAATTATTTATTGGCCAAGTATGATTGGACACACAAGGAATTTGTCTTTGGTGCATAAGTTCTCAATGAACATAAAAAGACAAGATACATTTGTCAAGAATCATAAGGTACAACAATGATAGTCATAGGATACAAATAAGCAATCAAATCATACTAGGAAACAATCAATATAAATTGTAA